ATAAATTTTAAATAATTTTTGATTTGGCATGCATTTACAATCTGTAAGGTATTTGCTTGAAAATGGATTTATTGAAAGTTTACAAACTATTTATTCAGAATTGTCAGTAAAGATTAATCTCCTTCATAAGTCAGATTTTTATCAGTTGTTGACTGTTCATAAGTCAATAAAGAGTAGAGCACGACATTCCTCAGAAGTCAAGAACAACTAGGCGGTGAAGTAAGATTTACTTTATTTATCCCAACAAGTAAAATAAAAAATTACATTTAAAATTTGTAAACATATTATCCCTGCGTTCGTTCATTTGGGGATGTAAATTTATATAGTAATAATATTATAAAATACATTTTTTGCCTTGATCTAATTGGTTCAACTTTTTACCAAACTGATTTATTGTAAATAAATGATTAAATCCAAGTTTATTTTCCATTGAGCTTATTGTAGATTTTTTTTTACTTTAAAAATTTTTAATTGCCCTTTTTACAGATCTGATCAGATCTGTTTAAGCTCTGATCAGTTACAGTGATCAGTTACAGTGATCAGTTACAGTGATCAGTTGTAGTGATCAGTTACAGCTCTGATCAGTTACAGATCTGTTACAGATCTGATCAGATCTGATTCAGCTGAATCAACTGACAATTGCTTATTTAGCTCATTTTGGATTTATCTGTGTGGTGATAATAGTCTGGCAATGGGTTTAAAAATACTGACAGCAATTAATTTATATTTAAATGCCTCTTTTTACAGTAATCATCCATTGTTTGTAAGCTTGTGCTCAATGTATCCAAATGAGTTTTTATCAATTGATAATTTGTTAGCAGTGTCTGTATCCACACATTTTATAGACTCAGGAAAATTAAAAAATGACCTTGTTAAGGAAGAAACATTTCATATGTGTAAAGAATTTTTATGGTCTGTGTTTCTTTGTGTTCTTGCTCTTTTAACTGTGTGTTCTACAAGACTTAAGTGTTACTATTGAACAGTTTTTTCCTAAAATATAAAATTATGTTTAATCTTAATATTGAACCTTATTCGATGTTCATCATCAGATATTGTTAATTTGTTGTTTCGTTCGAAGGCTTCTACTTTGAAAGATTTACAAATATAAAATTTGATTCAAAATGTTTTTGTTCCTGATGAAACTTCTTTTTTAAAAACAAATGGGCAATCTTTAAAAACTTTTATCATTAAAACAATTTTCATGGCTTAGATATTTACCTTCTGAAGATGGAGCATTTTGTTTGTGTTGCCTTTTGTTTAGATATAAATACCTTTCAAAAACTTCTAGATTTAAAAATTTGTTCTCAGTCATTCAAATATAGGCCAGATGCTGTGAGCACTTTTAATAGACATTACCATGGGAAAAACGGGAATAATTATGAATATCACTCAGCTGAAATATTTATGAACATCATCACGCAGTACAAATTCTACATTATAATGCCTGGACCATATTTTCCACAGTTTTAAATACTATGAATAGAAATATTTAAAATATAGATATTTTAATAAAGAATGTGAAAAGGAGATAGCTTTAAATTGTAAAAAGTTGTTTTGTGAGAAAATCATTTTCTTAGGTCAACTTAATATAGCTTTCAGAGGTCATTGTGATGGTCATTGGCAAATATTCTTTAGTGGGTGGAGTAGGTAATTTTATTGAACTTTTAAACTACAGAATCAGAGGTGGGGATAAAATTCTTGAACTTTATCTTAACAGCTGTGCAAAGAATGCATCTTATATTTCTAATTCCTCACAGAATGAATTAATAAGTTGTTGGGGAAAGGACATCCAGAATATTTTGGTTTCTGAAATAAAAGAAAATCGAATTTTTTCAGTTATTGCTGATGAAGCTTCTGACTGCTCCAATCAGGAATAATTGTCATTAATAATTAGATTAATAGACAATTCCTATGATGTTAGGGAAGAATTTATGTGTTTTTTACATTGTAAATTAGATACTGAATAAAGGTTTGTATATACACTGTATATACTAATCTTTATTCAGTATCTTTAAGGTCTTCTTCAAATAGAAAGTTTGTATAATTTTTAAATTAAAAAATATAGTTATTTTATTTTTTACAGTTTTTTTTATTTAAAAGGATTATTTATTTTATTTTAGTTGTTATTTTATTTTTTTCATGAAGTTTTATTATCTTTATAAATTTAAACATGTCTAATTTTTATTGTATTCTTTTTTTCTATATTTATTTTTAGTTTTACCTGTCAATTGTTAATCGAAACTGGTACCGTTATGTACTGTATCTTTGTTATTTTAATTAGGAGCATTATATTCATTGTCTATTATATACTTTTTCTCCTTTTTTTCAGCTCTACCTTGAGATTCTACCTTGTGTGGTTATTTGAGTTGAAATATGGTTTTAATTTAGTAAGCTTTCATTATTTGAAGTTTACTTTATTGATCATTATTCAACAGTTTAGAGAAAATAAACACATGCAACACATTAAATGCAAGCATAACTTTGTTTACGAACATTAATATTACAATTGTTTAACATTATATAGCATATCTATCAATGAAATAAAATAACAAAATGGGTTTTTATGGTTAGTTATCATATTATTGCTTTTGTGTTATTGCATTTCTCATAGTATGATAGTCATACTAATCAATTACATTATAGTTTTTTTATAATTATGGTATTAATGTTATTGTAGTTGTTTACTTTTACATAGTTTTTATTCTATTTGCAAGTCACCTAACTATGCAAACCTTGCCTATTTAATTAATGATTTGTTATACTCCATACAGGTGTATTATTTATATATGTTACAATTATACACAATAATGATGCCCACAAAGTGTTTTAATACCACAGACAATATTTTATTTTTGTAGATTTAATGGATCCTTGCTAGTTTTAATACTATATATCTATATATATCTATATATATATATATATATATATATATATATATATATATATATATATATATATATATATATATATATATATATATATATATATCTATATATATATATATATATATATATATATATATATATATATATATATATATATATATATATATATATATATATATATATATATATATATATATTAAATATGCAACCCCATTTGAGCCGCTTTTTTGAAGGCTTTGCAAATAACTTATTTATCAAACAAATGGGGTAGGTGCTTTTTTTTGTATTTCATCTTCATCCCCCCCTATCTTTTCGTGGGGAGGGGGCAGTAAAATCCGCAACCGACTTTTTTGACTAACCTCTTTAAAAAGCTAAACCCGCCCCTGTATATATATATATATATATATATATATATATATATATATATATATATATATATATATATATATATATATATATATATATATATATATATATATATATATATATACATTTTATTTATATATTTTTATTATTATTATTATTATTTATTTATTTTTTTTTTTTACTTTAATTTTTTATTTCTAGTTTTTTTTTTTTTTTACAAACTAAGAATATGCAATATTCGACCATGTTTTTTTTATGTCTAGCAGTTATTTTTTATATTTAGTCGTTATTTTTATTTAGCAGATTAGAATGATACATTATTTTAGTTTGTCTAATATTTTTTTGAAAAAACTGTTTATAGGCTTTGTATGTTTTTTCATCACCAATTTTTGAAATCAAAAGAAAAATCTTTTGATTTCAAAAATTTTATATAAAGTTTTTGCTTTCGTTTAGACGATTTAATAAGATTACTCGTCATCCATGGATTTTTTAACTCTTTAACTTTAACTT